GTCCTGACATGCCACAATGGTTTCAGTTCTACAATCTCTGAGAGGTTGTCCCGGTCTCTTCTGAGTGTTCTTGCTGCACCCCTGAAGTGTTATAGTCCTATAACCACTGAGCAGTCCTGACATGCCACAATGGTTTCAGTTCTACGATCTCTGAGAGGCTGTCCCGGTTTGTTCCTTGTGTTGAGTGTTCTTGCTGCAGCCCTGAAATGTTATAGTCCTATAACCACTGAGCAGTTCTGACATGCCAGAACGGTTTCAATTCTACAATCTCTGAGAGGCTTTCCCGGTCTGTTCCTTGTGCTAAGTATTTTTGCTGCAGTCCTGAAATGTTATAGTCCTATAATCTCTGAGAGGCTGTCCCGGTCTGTTCTGAGTGTTCTTGCTGCAGCCCTGAACTGTTATAGTCCTATAACCACTGAGCAGTACTGTTCCAGTCCTTTGCTTGTTCTGAGTGTTCTTGCTACAGCCCCGAACTGTTATAGTCCTATAACCACCGAGCAGTACTGTTTCTGCTAAGTGATTGTAATTCTGTAATCTTTGAGATCCTGTCCCGGTCTGTTGCTTGTGTTGAGTGTTCTTGCTTCAGCCCTAAACTGTTATAGCCCTATAACCACTGAGCGTTTCTAACATGCCACAATGCCCGTTTTTTTGTTCGTGCAGGTTTTCATTGGAGAGCTCGGTGAATATTTGGATCCACGTCTTAAGACCAGGCTTCTTCCGTTCAAGTACCTGATCGCTGAGCCAACGTCGACCCCAAGCCCGTTGAAAACGAAGCCAGGCAAGCGGAGAACGCCTCCTCCAGTTGTAGTCTCCCCGCAGACGTGTGTCGAGTCCTCGGCAGCTCTGGAGAAAGGTTCGGGTACGAAGCCGAAAGCTCCGAAAAAGAAAGTACTTGCAGAACGAGCTGCGGCGTCTTCGAAAAGGGAAGGCAAAGCTCCGCAAGACGAGTTGGGTACGAAGCCGAAAGCCCCGAAAAAGAAAGTACCTGCGCCGAAAGTTGCGGCGTCTTCGAAAGGGAAAGGCAAAACTCCGCAAGACGAGCTTCAAGTTCCTCGAGGTCTTGTTCCCGGTGAACTCAACGACGAGCTGACACGGGCCTGGAACGAGCTGGAGAGTTTAAAGGAGAAGAAAATTTCCCAAGAGCCTTTTTACCTGCCCATGTCGTGTCTGCGACGACCGCCGAACGATGGAGCAGGAAACAGGCCACTCGAGATTCGAGAGTCCGAAGAGGACCACTTTTCCACAATCATGGATTCGATGATTACTTGCCCGATTGGGGATCATCTTCCCTTCGTTGGTGTCGTGGATCCGTCAAAGGTGAAAGATAAGAAGGACGTGGATCTGGTCCGGTTGCGCAAAGGTGGCTACACCATCTATGTTCTTGGAGGTGGACATTGTCAGGAGGCGAGGGAGCGCCTGCAGAAGATCTACCCTGACAAGGAGGATTACAAATGGAATGTGTGCTATGTCTATGCGGGCCTGACTACGGAAGAAGCGAGGCAGGTGGGTCACAAACACAATTTGGCAGTTGGCTATCACAAAGATTTGAACTTCATCGAGAAGATGAAATGTTGGTGTAACATCTTCGAGAGAATGGGGTCTGTGAAGAACGCTGAGGTGAAGTTGGCCTGCCTGCGGGAGTTCGGCATACCGTGTTCTACCAAGAAGGTGTAGAATAATGACCCCTTGTTGCAGATCGCGATGCGTCCCAAAGAGATCTAGGACCTGCAACTGCGAATTTTTGAGATGTGGCAGAAGGGGGAGGTCAAGAACCAGAAACTCAAGCCTCTTGCGAAAAGTCAGATCCGCACAGATGTCGCTCCAGAGTCCAGCGAGTCGGAGGGTGGCAAGAAACAACGCGGGGCAAGAAAGTTGGACAGGGCTGTCGCAAAGCAGCAGGGGACGACGTTCTTCAATCCTCGCCTAAAATTGAAGGACAACAAAGTTGCTTCGGCCCCGGCTGACATGCTTGCGCAGCCGTGGATTACGATGGGCAATATCCCGCACGACGTTATCATCCCCATCTTGACGGAAGTTGTGTCCAAGCAGATCTCCCTGAAAGAGATGAAGAGGAAGTTCAAGGTCGTGAAGAAGTTTGGCTACGTTGCAAAGGCCTTCTGCGAAGGTGTCAAATGCAAAGACTTCAAAACCGCAGAGGAGTTGTATCCTTTGCCCACCAAGAAGGAGGTTCTCGAGCCATTCATTGGGAGTTTTGAGAGGCGAGGGGCTAAACCTACTGCTTTGCTAAATCACATTGAACGAGCGAAGGAGTGGAGAAAGATGGAAGACAAGAGGATTAAAGATGCACAAAGAGCGAGTCACAATTTCTTCCGAGCGCATTCCCTGGACGACCCTTTCGTGGACTGGACTGACGTGAAGTACAAAGGGTGCTCGGGGCAGGTCAAGGTCATTCAAGGCGATATGTTGCATTTGGCACAGCTGCAAAAGGACAAGGTGCCGATTTCCCTTTCCATCTTCGATTTGCCCTACGGCTTTGCGCACAAAGGACACGCGCGTGACACGGAGTCATTCCCGGAGAGTGACATTGTCGCTGTGCTCTAGAATGTCAAGGAGGTTTCGAGCGCATCGCTCTAGACAGTCGCTGCTTTCTGCTCTGTGGACATGCTATCCTCAGTGAGGTCCGCGTTTGTGAAGATCTGCAATGCTGGTCAAGAGCTTGTCACATGGTGCAAGCCGAACACGACGAATCCCGTTGGCCCGAGACTTGTCAGCGCGACGGAGTTCTATGTTCTGGGGTACTACAATGTGACAGGCCAACGTGAGATGACGCATTACAACTTCGCTCCCACCGATCCCCGCCACAACTTCCAACTTTTTGATGCGGTCACGCGAAAGTTTGTGCACCCGGCTGATGAAAGGGTGCTTTGTCCGTACCAAAGACCTTATGAATCGTATTCCTGGTTGGTCACAAAGTTCTCGCCACTAGGCGCCACCATTTTCAACGGCTTTTCGGGCTCGGGTACGGGGGCCATTGCTTGCGTGATGGCGAACAGGAACTGTCTTGTCGTGGAGCTGGACAGGCGGTGTGCGAAGGGAATCTGGATGAGTCTGCTCACTGACCTCGAAGGGACGTTGCAGATAGAAAAGCTGAAAGAAGGGAAGGGCAAGTCGAAGGAACAACACCTTGATGCGGACGTTAAGGTGTCTGGGGATCACGGCCTCAAGGAGGAAGAGCGACATGTTGAGGAAGCCAAGGCGAGGGAGGCTTCCGGCCAGGACATGACGCAGGAGACATGGGAGCCCATTCCTGGATTCATTGCAACCGAAGCCAATCTGCCGGCAGGATCTGACCAGCGTGAGGAACCGCCCGTGGCAGTACCTCCAGAGGTGCAACTGGCACAAAGCCAGGACTCAAGTCAAGCCACAGGGGCAGAAACACGAGGTCGTAAGAGAAAGATCGGAGGATAGGAGGCGGTCAGCTCCTTGTGATGGGTCTGCGCAGCGATGCTCGGTCGCGTGTGCGGAAATAAGCGAGGGCGCGTATAGTTTTATGACTTGTTTTTGTTATAGAACTATATTTGAGACCGGGGACTGCTGTTGTTGTCGTCGTCGCTTGTTTCTCTTATAGAACTATATTTGAGACCGGGGACTGCTGCTGTTCTCGTCGTCGCTTGTTTCTAAAATAGAACTATATTTGAGACCGGGAACGCTTGTACTTCTGTTTTGATGGCGAAGCTTGTACTCTTGTTTTGATGGCGAACATTTCTCTTTTTTTCATTTCTTTTTTTTCTTTTTTTTTTCTTTTTTTTTTTTTCTTTTTTTTTCCTTTTTTTTTTTTTTTTTTTTTTCCCCTTTTTTTTTTTTTTTTAGGCGGCTGTTGTGTCATTTTATTTTTGCTTTTCAATGACATAAGTCTTGAGTGAGGTTTTGTC